CGCGAGTCAACTTATATAGGTCCCCTTGGGGAGCGGCGGGGCCCGCCCATGGGCCCGACCGCCGCCTCAACCTCGCCGCGATCTAAGCACCCAGGGTTCACAGCACCGCGCAACCACGACTTTGAAAATTTCTAACCGCGCCAATTTTCATTCGTCGTCGAGCGTGACAGTGTCTCCGGCTTTTTCACGTGTCCATACGCGCCACCTGTTGCGTAAACGCGATACCGATAGGAAAATGGAGGTCCTTGCGGTGTTCTCGAGGACAGGGATTGTCAGGGAGAATTGTCAGAATCGGTGTTTTGGAAATCGAACAAGTTTGCCAAGTGTGAATTGCGATTCGAATTGTTAGTTTCGTTTTTCGTTGTCTCGTAGAAACGTGTTGTTGAAGGATCTAGGTTATTTGAGCGTTTTGTTGTGTTGAATTTATAGGTTAGGTTTTGTGGAAAGTTTCTATTTGTTGAAAATTTGTTACTGGCGATGGATTTGTGCGAGATTTATTGATGATAGAAGTATCTTTGAGAGATTTTTTTCTTTGAGAGTGTGTTTTCATTCATGAAAATTGGATATTTCTTAAAATGGAGATATTAATATTACACATGCATCTTATTATGAAGTAAAATGAACGAACGAATGAAGTAGAATCGAATGTAGTTTGAATTTTAGATAGATTTAAATAAAGATTGTAAAGTATGAAGCGAAGCGTACTTCACGAAATACGTACATACGTTTAAAGTTTTCCACAAACAGGATTTTACAAGGTGATCATCTGGAGATTTTTCGCAAGGACATTGTCTGAAAGAAGTTATTTACTTCTTGGATATCAGTGATTTTTTTCATATTTGTCTAATGAGATTGGAACTGTTTTTTATCCTTTCTCTAATTTTTTTTCAAATTTTTTGTAATATTTTCGTAAACAGTATATAAAAAAAATTTTTTTTTCCTTTTTTTTGATATTTTTTTTTTAGAATAAGAGAAGGAAGGAAGCGTTACAATTGTAATTGCACAAATGACTGACTAATCGAGAACTTTCCCGATCATATAAGAGAATTTCTTGACATTTATCGTGGCAACATTAAGGGCATTATAACGTTCAACAGAGTGAAATACACTCCTTTGGCTATCTTGCAATCCAAGTATCCGATTCGTGAGAATAAATTTCTGTAGAAATAACTTTCACACTCAGAAACGTCTTTTTTAAAGCGATACTCCTTGTGTTTTTAAATCACATAAAAATAGTCAATTTTTATCATGAATCGACAAGGCATGACGATCAAAGAAATGATAACATCGAATTATATAATATACAAAAATAGATTTCATTGAAATTAATCGTTTATTATATAATTATCTAATCTCGATGAGATTTAGAAATTTCAAGATACAAAAATTATTTAAAATAATTATTTTATCATCGATAAAGATATAAATAAGAAATCGAATATATTATATACACAAAAATAAAAAATAAAAAATAATAAGTATCGATAAATTATAAAAATCATAAATAATTTCACAATAAAATCTCTATTAATCGCTTTCTAATATAATTAATAAATAATATATACTTTTTTACTAAGAAATTATTTACTAAGAAATTGTCCAATATTTCAAATAGTAGAAATAACTCTGTTTGAATCGTCGCACGATTTAAATTTTCCAAGCGATTCTCGATCGATCGTGATCGTAATGCGTACGTTACGAAGACATCCGACAAGTTGCGGTGAAAGTACAAAAAGACAATGTCCAGGAATTTAGATTCGTGAAATGATAAACGTGTGGCAACCTGATTTTACGTTTTCATTACAATTGAATCGCGAAAAGAGTTCAATACTCATCCTAAGGGATGCTCGATCTCTCAATTTACGTAACATTGTTACGTGCGACATAATTTGATATTAATGTCTGCATTCATGCTAGTGGAACAGAGATGTTCACTTTCTTGGCCTACAAAAAGTGACCGGGTTTTTTGATTGTCATGATTAACATTGACGGTTTAACTACTTTCTTCTTTGTTGAAAGAGTTACAATCTATTTCGACGACCATGAAGAATCGTTAAAATATGTGCAAGAGAGTTCTTAATATACAAAATATTAATTATTGAAGAGACTCATTAAAATTTCAATTTTTGTAAAAAAATATTGAGTTGTAATAATATAGATTAAGACTATGATTTAATGTTTTCCTCAAATAGGCTTGGTAATTGATTTAATATGATTGCAAGGTGCAGGATATTGACAATGTGGCAATATCCTGTATTTGAAGAACAAATTAACTATGGATAATGAATTTTTTTTTTTGTTATCGTGTAATGTTTTGATTGAAGTTCCTCGTTTTGCCGTAAGAGAGCGACACTTTGCTGTTATAGATGGACTACGTATAACGCCTGACCAATGATTACCCATTCTACTGCGATGTACACAACACCTATTAAAGTAAAAACATTTATGAAAAAATTATTTACAAATATAAAAATTGAATTTCAATTTTCATTATTTAATATAACTTTCAAAAAAAAAAAATAGTGAAAGAAATTATGGAATTAGAAAATAGAATTAGAAAATTTACTTTTGAAACATCACATTATAAAAAAAATTTCCAAACAATTTCTCTCGTTATTAAAAATATTCAATCTGACCAATACACATTCTTTTCCCACCCATTTATCAATAACCACTCATTAAATCTCATCATGAAAGACGAAGACGATAACAAGATAAGAGGCCAATAAAGGGTCGAGTTGCATATTCGTGCAATTACTTTAATTGACTCATCCGCCGTTTTATCAAAAGTTGCTCACACAGTGGAGCAAAAGGTGTCGTGAGTGTCGATACTCAATCCGTTTGCGCCTTAAATTCACAAATCTCGATTATCATATCGATCGAAGCGAATCTCTCGTATCAGTTTTGTCGAACAGTTTTACAATCACCTTACACGTGATATACGAAATTGAAACGTCACATAAAATAGACGTAATAATAAAAAGGGCAATTATCGCGTGTTCGAACTTTTCATTCTTACTTAGGACGGTATTTCATGGAATGTAAAGTCACGAACCCAGGGAATGGTGGTCGTATTAAAAATTTAAAGGGTCGTGATGTGCTGTTCGAATACAAGTTTTAGGCGGTAGGTGTCCTCCAATGGTGAAGTGGAATGGCAATTAAAACGAGTTTACGAGTTTCTTCGATTTTGTCGTTTCTTTTTAATGTAGACACCTTTTTCTATATTTTTCACTCTGTGAATGTTACGATCCTCGGATTATTTGTATATCATGGGCCCACAAGGTAAAATTTAGTTAAATGAATTTCGATTAACTAGTCTGGCCGATGCTCAAGTATTTAAAATGGAGGGATGGAGCATTAAATAACCCTTTATTAGCGGGGTTTGTTAAAATGGCGAAACGAATGTTGAATTTTCTATATATAGAAATAGTACAAAAAAAAGCCATTTTAGTTCGGGATCATTTGAATATTTATAATTTATAGAAGAAAATAAAATGAAATAATGAGAAGTAATGCATATAGAACACGTATTTTTTTAATTCTTTGAAAATTTCTTTTCCATTTTATCCAATTATAGCAATTCAAATATTGCTTTCTCTACACGATCCATAAAATAATTCAGAATCAGAACAACTTTCCATACACAAAATTTCTAATTTCACAAACATTGTCGTTAATTTCCACTACAAAATCACACAAGTGTCAACTCGAGCCAACATCACAATCGCGGCAAATTGCACGATCCTCAACAACTCGAATCGACCACCATTCTTCGCGATATCGAAACAATCTACGGATTCACTACTTCATTACTTAAAGCATCGTGATCGTGAATAACGAGAATTCCGGCCTGATTGCGCGTTATCTTCGAATCATCCACGATAAGGGTCTCCAATTATTCGAAGGATGAGTCACGACGCGCGCCATAACCGGTCCAACCGTGGTCTCGAATTATTTTGTCGCGTATATATCATAATCGAGAGCCATTTATCGTAGTGCATTCAGTGCGTGTATCTCCGATTGGATGAGTTTTACGAGCATTACGAGCATTAAGATGCAAGAGCGAAACACGATATTTTTTTAGCGATCGTTCGTCGATAAATGAAAAAGACGACGCTCTTTGAGAATTGAGATCGAGCGTGGAAATGAGAGGATTAAGATGTTCGATTTTTTACAATTATTTATTTTTAACAAAACTTTGCGAGCGTTGAGACGTGTCTTTTTAGAGAAATTAATATACAGTACAATGGATTATTTACAATTTTTTTTTGTGGAATATGAAAATAAAAAAATGAAATTTGTCAATCATAAAAGTTTTCGTATATCAAAATATTGTTGAGAAAACTTTGTGAATGTTGAGAATTTTTTTGAAGCAATCTATTGTAGAGTGTTATAGATTGTATTTGTTTGTTTTTTTTTTTGAAATATCAATCTGAAGAAACGAAATTTAAATTTTGAAGTTTGAAGATTTGTTTCTACTGTGAAATACAAATAGCTTGATAAACTATAGCTATAGTAAGCTACAAGAAAGACAATATCCTTGATCGATATCAATTTTTATCATTGTATTTGCATACTGTATAATATATGTATATTACAAAACCAATACAATATCTAATTATAAAAAATGATCTCGATCATATCACTTATTTTATTACATTACACGAAGCTAATTAAACACGACAAAGAAAATAGGACGATAAAATCAAGGGAAACGAGCATCGATGATGTGACGTGTAATTTTAAATAATTGACAAATTAACGATTATTATTAAACAGTTCTTGCATATTGAAATATTC